ACGAAAAATTGCATGCCTGTGTGTATATTACTTATAATCTGAAATCATGAGACACTGAGCATATTTTCAAGTAGAAAAAGTAAAGACTCCATATTCAGAGATGACACACATCTGACCATCAGCGTGGTCTCACGTGTGGCCACTGTGGATATATGACTACAGAACACACTGAGAATCTAGAGTGATTTACGCTGGTCAGCAAGTTTAGATTTACAGAGCTGCAGAAAGAAACACAGAGAGAGGCCCAGGAAGGTCAAAACCCAGGCGGTAAATTACTCTCCTAGTGTAAACAGTCACAGTTGTACCCTTCTTCCTCTTTTTATGTGTTTTAAAAACCTTGCTCATCCCCTTGTGCAACTCAGCAATTAAAGAAAAAAGACACTAGTCCTCTGAGATTTCACATAACCTTTTATACCCAATATTTTTGTTGTCTTTAACAAAATCTTTAGTAGTCAGTGAGGGTTGTTTTGCAACACCCCAGGGTGGAGAAGATCTGTTCATAAGGGTTTCCATTTTCACCCTGGTGTCCTCTTTTGGCACATTCACCAGTCACCCCAGGCCCCTCACCCTGTGTTCTGGCAGGATTTGAGACATGCAAATTGCAAACTGGTAAATAGCAACTTTGCATATTTTGAATAGAAGAGAACCACGTAGCACTACTCTTTCTGTTCACAGGGAAATCTGAGATAATGGGGAATGAGAACAAGGGCAGACCAAAGGTCCTGAGTGTTTTCTTCAAAGTGTTTATTATGCTTATTAAATCTATTGTACAGTGATGAACGAATTTGAATTATTTACATGGTCAGCTTTTGAGACAATAACCTTATTTAATCAGAGGATGCAAATGTATCATGTCTCTTTGAAATCTAAAAACTGTCTTAAACTAGAAGAAGCTTCAAGACTTGTAACTTCTCCCACAGATATGGTTACAAATCTGCAGTTGTCAGGTTAAATGACATATTGTCAGAAGTCAAGAGAATTGAATGATGTATTTCTTGCGAAAGTCGATAAATGCCCCTGGGAGAACATGTCCCCTGGACCGCCAACTCTCAGGTGACCAAGTTCTTAAGTAAAGACTTTCAATTCTGTTTGTCTCTAAATATCACTCACGCAGTGTCTGACATGAGGGTGTTCATCTGCTACAATGTCAGTATAAAGGACGATGACATAGTAAGAATGGTTGGATTTTCATTAGATTGTGTGCCTGGTGTCATTTTAGTGACTGTTTGGACTGTAAGAATTCTTCAGTTTTACCACTGAAGTTGTAAGAACCTAAAGGTCTCTGTCACGTTAAAAGTATTATAATCCAATTAGTTCAAAATCTAGGTTTCCATCACAATTTGGAAAACACTGGACATTATTATCCAAGCCTACTCTACTTTGGATTATTATTTTTTTTTTCCTGGATGCTTATAAGGAAATTTTTGTGAAAGGTTAAAATTGTTTGTAAAGACAGAAGAGGCACCAATGATTCTGAAGGTGGAGTCTTTCTGAGGTAAAGTGAACAGCTTGCATCTTGAATATTTTATAAGATCTAGGTATTAGAACAATGTTTGTGATGCAGGAACACAGCGATCTAGGAACAAAAGGGAGATAGGGCCAAAGAACAGACTGTAATGTTTCATCAAAATGTTAGGCAATCTTAAGACTGAAAACAGGAATGGATGGATGGTAATACGGCAGATTGCTCCTAATAAGAGCTTTAAAAGCTTCATGATGTATCAACTGGATCCACACTGATGTGCCCTTGTATATGTAAATAAATGACTGATTTATGAGGGTACAATTGTATCTTTCAGATATATTTGATCCAAGTCTACATATTGAAAATAAGTTGAAGGATTGAGTCATTGCCTGCATATTTCAGGGGAGCAACCCCCACCTGCTTTGGAGGGAGGCTAGTATATTAGGTGAAGAGGAATAAAAAAGAAAGAAAAGAAAGGAGGGAAGGAGGGAGGGAGGGAAAAAAGGAAGGGAAGGAGGAAGGAAAGAGACTCTAAAGGTAATTAGGAAAAAAGATAAAACTTTAAAACAGCACTTCTGTTAAGAAACATCTCCTACTTTTCTCATCCTAAAAGAAGAAAAAGAGATTCCCAGGTGCCATCAGGGAGCAATGTTTCCCTTCAAAAATAAACTAAAGAACTAAGGAGAAAGAAAAAGAAAAAAAGTTAAAATAAAAAGTTGTCTTGTTAAATCAGCTACACATGGAGTCTGTCTGTGTAAGGAAATCAGCCTTTTCATTACAAATAGGTTTAAAAAGCCCTAGAGAAGGGAGATGTGAACAGAAGCAATATTACCCACTAACAACCTAACTCCCTTTTCGGCATCAGCTGAGAGAAGATCAGCAGCATCATTGAACAGCGGGTTTGTCTTAAGATAAAGACTCATCTTTATTTCTTTCAGGATATAAAACTTGTATTTAAATCAATTCAGAGAAGCACTTTAGCTCTAAACATTAGAGAGCAGGGAGAGCCTATTTAATAAAACAGCATTATTTCATTTTCAAAGAAAGATACTGGCAGTCGCTATGAGTTTAAATTCTGTATTCTTTCCCTCAATTATAATTATAGATGGGTCTGAAAGGAAGCATGACTATTACTGTCATATTTATTCTTTTGACAGGTGTTATGGGGCTGTAATTTGATGAAATGACTCAATACGCAGCTTCCCATCCAAATATAATTCCGTCATCAACACGAGTGGCTTAGGAAAAGTCCTCCTGCAAGCCTTTTCACAGATCTTGAGCACTCCTCATATTTTAGTAGCAATTCATATTCAGGAAAATGGGGGGAGCCCTGTCTCTGAGGTGGCAAAAGCTAAAAGGAACAGTGTGTGTTTCAAGAAGGCTGTTGCCCAGTCAACTGTCAAACTCTTTGAGACCCCATGGACGGTAGCCCGCCAGGCTCCTCTGTCCATGGGCTCTCCTGCAAGAATCCTGGAGTGGGTTGCTACTTCCTTCTCCGAGAAGAAGGCTGTTAGTTGGACAGATTTCTTTTTTCAAGAGGGTGGGTCCGACCAGGGGAAAGGGCACGCAATACAGCTCCCTCATTAACAGACGCCAAGTCCCACGCACGCCCGAAAGAGGGCGCTCCGCGCACAGTCGCCTGGCGGGGGCGGTGCTTCAGCGGCCGCGGGGCGCAGGCGCACTCGTGGCCGCCGCGTCCGAGGCGGATGTTCCCCAGCGGAGGCGGGTGAGCGGCTCTGCGCAGGCCGAGGGCGGGAGTGTGGGCGGTCGCGCGGGGATCCGAGCCACCTGGGGCGGCAGGGATGGACTGCAGTTAGGAGGCCTCGGGGTGTACTCGACCTGGCGCGGCCTGTGAAAGACTCAGCGCCGCTCTCTCGACCCTCTGGCCTCCAGAGAGCCGTGTCCTCCGGAGTGCGGCTCCATGTACACGCCGCAGGCCTCGCGGGGCTGGCTGACAGCCGCGGGTCGGGGGAGAAGGCCCGGGACTTCGGGAAGGGGGATTGGGGGCGCCACGAGGAGCCCAGGGGTCTGCGGGCGCCGGGCCTTCTGTGAAATGTACCTGTCGGGCCTCGGTTTGCCAATTTTTAAAAGCAATCATGGCCCCTGCGCGGCCCGAGTGCTCGCAGCACCCTGTGGGCGCGCTTACCTCGAGTCACCTTCATCTACTCTTCTGCCTAACAGATCGAGTCTGTGGCCGGAACTCCTGAGCCCTTGGGAGTTAATCTTTCCTTTTGTTTGTTTTTACACGGCATACAGTTCACCCCCTTAAAGTGAACATCTCAGTGTCTTTTTAGTTTAGTCACAGGGCTCAGGCTTCTCTCTCTGCCCTCACCCAGCCACACTCTCCTTGTCCCTCAGATTTAATGTCCCTTTCTCATGCTTCAGCGGCCGCGGGGCGCAGGCGCACTCGTGGCCGCCGCGTCCGAGGCGGATGTTCCCCAGCGGAGGCGGGTGAGCGGCTCTGCGCAGGCCTAGGGCGGGAGTGTGGGCGGTCGCGCGGGGATCCGAGCCACCTGGGGCGGCAGGGACGGACTGCAGTTAGGAGGCCTCGGGGTGTACTCGACCTGGCGCGGCCTGTGGAAGACTCAGCGCCGCTCTCTCGACCCTCTGGCCTCCAGAGAGGCGTGTCCTCCGGAGTGCGGCTCCATGTACACGCCGCAGGCCTCGCGGGGCTGGCTGACGGCCGCGGGTCGGGGGAGAAGGCCCGGGACTTCGGGAAGGGGGCTTGGGGGCGCCACGAGGAGCCCAGGGGTCTGCGGGCGCCGGGCCTGCTGTGAAATGTACCTGTCGGGCCTCGGTTTGCCAATTTTAAAAAGCAATCATGGCCCCTGCGCGGCCCGAGTGCTCGCAGCACCCTGTGAGCGCGCTTACCTCGAGTCACCTTCATCTACTCTTCTGCCTAACAGATCGAGTCCGTGGCCGGAACTCCTGAGCCCTTGGGAGTTAATCTTTCCTTTTGTTTGTTTTTACACGGCAGACAGTTCACCCCCTTAAAGTGAACATCTTAGTGTCTTTTTAGTTTAGTCACAGGGCTCAGGCTTCTCTCTCTGCCCTCACCCAGCCACACTCTCCTTGTCCCTCAGATTTAATGTCCCTTTCTCAAGAAACCTCTGACCCTTGACTGGGTGAGGGACCCCGTGTGCCAGCCTCTCGGGACATGAATTCCACTTTGTGTGTGTGTGTGCGTGCTCAGTCGTGCCCCACTCTTTGCGACCTCATGGACTGTAACCCACCAGGCAGCTCTGTCCACGGAATTTTCCAGGCAAGAGTACTGGAGTGGGTTGCCATTTCCTTCTCCAGGGGCTCTTCCCAACACCGAGATCTCACCCACATTTCTTGAGTCTCCAGCATTGGCAGGGGGATTCTTGGCCAGCTGGGCATGCCCAGTCGCTTCATTCAGTATGCCCAGTTCTTTGTGACCCCACGGACTGTATCCTGCAGGATCCCCTGTCCATGGGATTCTCCAGGCAAGAATACTGGAATGGGTTGCCATGCCCTCCTCCAGGGGATCTTCCCAATCCAGGGATCGAACCTGGATGCCCTGCATTACAGGTAGATTCTTTACTGTCTGAGCCACTGGAGAAGCCTGCACCATCTGTAGTATTTAGCTAATACTGTTTTGTTTTTTTTTTAATCCTCTGTTAATGTGTAAATTTCTTGGGGTGAAGGGTCACCTTGATTGTTTCTGTAACTCCAGCATCTAGCACTTCATCGGTGCTTGATGACTGTTTCAGCACACACACAGTGCTCAGGACACAGCCATGAACAAAATTAACTCCCTGCTCTTGTGGAGCTTACACTCCAGAGGGGGGATGAATACAAAGAGAAATAATTAAATATATATGGTGGTGGAAAATGCTGTGGAGCAAAGAAGGAGGGACTGCAGTGTGGTCCGAGAAGGTCTCAAGTGTGACCTGGATACACAGGTGGGTGAGCCACGTGGGTGCCCTGAAGAGCGGTTAGGTATGTGAAGGCCAGCAAGGAGGCCAGAAGGAGGAGGAGCAGGAGAGGAAAACGGTAAACTAGGAGCCCTTGGAGACACGCCCTGGTGTGTAGAAACAGCTTGAGATAAGAGAGAAGCCCAGCTGTGGCTCTCAGCAGGTTCTTCTGTGTGACCTTGAGCCTCAGTTTAAATAGTCCCTTTGAAATACCCAGCCCAGTATCTGACACCTGGTAGCTGTGCTAGTTCCCTTCTTTGACCCTCGAGTAGACTGTGGTGGCCTGTGTGGGCAAAGCCATTGGCATAAAGCAGTCTGATATCACTAGATTCAGCTCAGGTTGCTAGTGGCTCTGCTCTGCAACCAGCGTGTTTACCTTTTGGATGATGTTTCTGGTTTGCTTTTGGGGGATGACCTCACCAGGTTCACCTCTAACACATGAAGGCCCAGGGTGGTCTGGGCCTATAAATGAGCTGTTCGAGATCCTTTGAGACAGCACATGTAATAGAGCTGAGGATTCAGAGCCCGAGGACCCGAGTTTGAGACCTGGCTCTGCCACCTGCTGGCTTCATATCTTCAGGACAGTCCCCTCCTCCTGCCTTTAGTTCCTCTCTGGTAAGTGAGTCTCCATTAGTACACATTTATTGAGATTTTGTTATGTTCCCGGGCACTGTTGACTATGGAGGGGTGACTAATACAGTAGAGTCTGTCCCCCAGAAGCTCACAGACATCTAGGATCACAGGTAGCCGGGTAGAGTAGGAAAGGGTAAGATGTCCAAGTATCCAACGGTGCCAGCCCCTGGCCTAGGCACCGTACTGATATGAATTTGTGTGATCTTTGCAAATCCCCCAGTGAGGTACATATTCTGTTGTCCAGTTTATAGAGGAGGAGGCAGAAGATCAGAGAAGGTGAGTTTCATGAGAGAAGATGGAAACAGACTTCATCCAACCAGACTTGGATAAAGAACATTCCACAGAGGCTGGTGAAGGGTATGTTTTTTGTAGGATGTGTCCGTGGGTGGCACTGTGGGGGCCGGACTGGAAGGAGAGTCTGATTAGGAGGCATTGTTCCAAAGCTGGAAACAGAGGTAGTGTCTACAGAGGCTGCAAGGCTCAAGGGTGGAACATGGGATTGGAGCCTTGACCATGTGAAGAGACACTGGAAGAGTAAAGGTTGTTCCGTTTCTAACTTAAGAGAGCGTGCATGCAAGCTGGAGCCCTGCAACTGGGGGGAGCAGAACCATTCTGTTCCTGTATTGTGACTTTCCTCATCCCGAAGAATAATTGCATATTTGAACAATGGGTTGTTCAGGCTTAATTTAGCTTGTATCTGTGCTCAGTGGAGCATAATTTCTGATTATTTTCTGTGGTTCCATTCTTTCTTTTTTAATGTATGGCTTTTCCCCCCATTTATTTTTAGGTGTCTTTTTGTCAGGGCACAGGTTAGGGAAAGAGACAGTGGGGTTAAACAGGGCTGAAGCCCTATTTTTCAGCATCTTTGATGGTGATACCTTGCGGCTCCCAGGAAATTCCCTTTGTGACTTTATTTTCATTCTTTTTCTTTATTCTGTCTCATTCTCCTGTATTCTGTCGTCATCTTTTGAAGAGTTCATAAACTCTTCAGAGTTTCCTAGGAGCTTTTTTGTTTTGTTTTGGTATCTCTGGTTACTCCTTTGGTTGTGTAAGTGACATTAGTCTTGGGACTTGTGTTTTCGTCTGTATGCAGGGGGAAGCCATAGATGGGGTTCTTGGGCTTCTGAAAAGCATGGAACAAGGGTTTATGGAGAAGGTCGAAAAACAGGAACTGGACATAGTATAGTCAAATGCTTCCATGGATGCTAGGACCTGGTCCTGACGAGCCCTGGGGAGAGTTCTCAGTTGGGGTCCTTAGCCCTGATCTGGACAACATTTGTGAGTGTCTCTGATATGGATGTAGGTGGTGTTAGGAGCAGGTAAGGGCATGGACTTTGGAATAAAATAGGCCTAGGTTTGATTCCTCACCTGACTGTGTACTCAGAACAGCTATATGGCCTCTAGCAAGTTGCTTACATCTAGAGTTGCAGTTTCCCTGTCTGTAAAATGGGGCTAATGATACCCAGTCCATAAGGCCGTTCTGAGGGTACATGAGAGAACACATGTAAAGCTCTCAGCACCCCCCTGGCACATGCTAGTCACTCGCTGAATGGCAGGTGGTAAGACATGCCGTCAGCTGTGCAGAGGCTCGGGGTGGGAGAGCCAGGGAACCTGCCAGGCGTTCACCTCTGTGCTCCGAGGGCTGAGTCCAGAGTCACACGGGCTAGAGGCTCCGAATGGCCTTGCGGAGCTTCTTGAAGTTACTGTCTCTTTTTACCGCATTTGTGATTCGTATGTGATTGCTTCTTTGCTTTTGTTGTGGTGAATTGAATTGAATAACAGACAGGATCTGGTACCCCAGAGATTGTGGCAGATTGTGACTCTGGACTGAATTAATAAAATACAAGATTGGGAAATAGACTTAAGCATAGTTCACGGGAAAAAAGTTCCTTTGAGTCAAATGCCAGGGCCATATGAGGGCTGGAGCGGAGAAGGCAGTCTGGGTTGCATTCCTTGGGTTCCCCTGTAGAGGAGCTGGGAATTGCCCCCATGAGCTCCAGTGCCCACGGAGCTGGTCAGAACACAAGCAAACTGTGGTTTATCCCTCTGGAGTATGTTTAAGAGTGAGATGGATAATGGGGGGGGGGTGTCCAGAGAGAGGAGGGTGAGTGAGATGGGGGTTACAGCACTTTTAGCATGCTTATCTCAGAAAAGATAAGGCTGAGGGTCTGGGATAACTGACCTTGAATACTGACAGTCTGGACGTGGCAGTAGGTTAGGGAGACTTTAGCTCCAAAAGGCAGAGCTCAGAACAGTGAGTAAAATTTTCCAGAGCAGATCTCAACTCCGAAGTGAAAGGACTTCAGTGCACTGCTGAGAGGGAAGGAGTTGAGGGAGAAAAACTGGGTGACTCCCCGCCAGTAAGAAGCGATTTTTTGACACCCGGTGTGCGGAGGTCGCGTTCAGGGCTCTGGCATCCTGGTTTTGAAGGGTGACCTACTTTGCACTATTTCTATTCATTCAAGTTGACACCTTTTCCCCTGAGCCTGCTACTTCGGGTGTTTTTGTAAGTTTCTAATTCATTAAAGGCTGTAGGATGAGTAACCAGAACTCACTTCTGATTTGGGAAAAAGCTAAATAAATTTCACCTGATCTGTAGTTTGATTTAAAAGGAAAAAAAGGTCTATTTTTTTCTTCCTTTCTGATGTATAGAGAGCTTACTGAGTCGATGAAACCCACAAATCTCTCTTGATCTCACTTTGCACCAAAGGCTTCCTTTAGCAGGCCATTCCTATTGTGGACCTGTGCTCAGTCACATCTAACTCTTGGCAACCTCATGGACTGTGGCCCACCGGGCTCCTCTTATCCATGGAATTTTTCAGACAAGAAAACTGGAGTGGGTTGCTCTTTTGTCATCAAGCGGATCTTCCCAGCCCAGGGATTGAACCCGCATCTCTTGTGTCTCCTGCATTGGCAGGCAGGTTCTTTCAGATAGAAGCGTGAAAAGGGCATCTTGACTTACTCTTTTTTCTTTTACTGCTCCTCCAGGGTTAGAGCAGGGCCTGGGAGAGGGAGGTCATATTCCGTGAGTCACTGTCATAAACCAGGCACATGTGTCTCTTATTTAATCCTCACATCAGCCTTACCATGGTTTGGGGCCCACATGCTTCAGGGTTCTATTCAGTCAGTACTCGGGGGCAGAAAAATGGCCTGACAGTTGTAGGGGAGAGAGAGGATTCACTCTCGACACCCCTCTGTTGAGTAGCCACTGCATGCCAGGCGCTGTGGGAGGGACAGAGGAGATAGAGCTGGAAAGAGTGGAGAGTGTGTGGGGATTTGGTTGCAGATGGGATAGAGATAGGGGGTTGATTGGGGAACATCTTCAGCACCCCACTCCACCACAAATATACACATACTCAAGACCCTTGGGTTTGTTCTGTGGATGCCATGTAAAGATATCAAGCAGTGGACTCAAAGATGAGAGTTTTGCTTTCAGAGGCTCAGTCTGGCTGAGCATAGGGAGGGATTGAAGAGGGATTGAGAAGGGTGTTGGGTTAATCCAGGCCTAAGGAGTCCTTGGAAAAGGAACGGCCTCCTTTCGTCCAAGAACTTAGGGACGTTGGGGCACTGGAGCTGGAGCCAAAGCCCACAGCCCAGCTCCACTGCTCACTGGTTGTGTGTTTGTGGGCATGTCAGCCCACTGTTCAGCCTCAGTTTCCACACCTGCAAAGTGGGGACAATAATGCTTTTCATCAGAGGGTAGCTGTAAAACAACCTGCACCATGCTTAGCATCTTGGTTGGGTCTCAGGTGAAGATGGATTTTGTGGTGGAGGGGAGTTGAGGATACTCTGGTCTGAGGGCCTCTCTAGACTCAGTGAAGTAGGCGGCGTCGGTGGCCTACGAGAGTTCCTGCGGATGAGCTGGAAGCTGGAAGAAGCCTGAAGTATCTGGGTGGGAAAGTAGGGTGTTTCTGCCAGAGGTGATGCCCAGAAGTACTGAGGCATGGAGGATCGTGCAGAAGGCAGCGGTCCTCACTTTACAGTGGGCGGGAGCACAGGACCATCTCTTACCTTTGGATCAAGAAGGCAGGGAGGAGGCTGAGCTGCTGTTTTCTCAAGCTTGGGGAGTGCTTGGATTTTGAGGTTCTTCAGTCAGCAAGCACTGATGGAGGAGTCCACTGGGCGCCCAGGGCTGTCCTGGGCAGAGGCGCCGAGGTGGAGGGCCTGACACAGTCCTTGTCCTCGTGGGGTTTGGCTGGGCCGGGAGACGGACAAGAAAGCAGAGGGTGATTGCGTGGGCAAACAGATAAGGAAGTGAGTCTCATTCCATGTGGGGGTAAGAGGGGTAGGAGGAATTAGCCAAAAGCAAATTATTGAAAGAGTGTTAGAAGCTCTGAGAATCAAGGGAAAAGCTGGGGAACTGGGCAAGGATCTAGACATTTCTGGAAGGTCAGGCAACAGGATCTTACAGAAAAGTTCAAAGCAGGAAGAGGCTGATTCAGGCCCACGTAGCGGTGCATGAACTCATTTTTCCGGCTCTTTGTAATGCTCCTCAGGACCCTGTTTCCAGGGGTGGCAGATGCTCACGGGGTCCATGCCCGGGGGCTGTGCTCAGTGTGCTGGGTCGCTCAGCCCTGTCCGGTTCTTCGTGACAGGCTGTCTGCAGGGTGCCGTGCGAGCTCACGTTTGCCTGGACTCAGAGAGTCGTGGGTGATGTGTTGAGGGGTGGTGGAAAGGGGCCAGATCAAGAGCCGGTCTGGGAGGAAGGCAGTATGGAATTTATTCTATAGACCAGTGCCTTTTTCAAAGTTCAGTACCACCTTCATGACTTGGCATATCCAGATTTTCAACTGCATTCTCACTTGCTTGATACATTTTTAAAAATCACTTTTCTGCCCATTCATTTTTTAAACTGTTTCAAGCTGTAATACCCATGAGATTATGGAATTTTTTTCTCATCACACATGAAAATAAATATCAAAGCATGACAATAAAAAGATGTTGGTCCATATACTGCTTAAAATATTTTCATCTCTGTCCCATGTTTTGGGAAAAGTTGTCATGAGTGATGGGGCTGGAGTGGACATCAGGGGCTTTAAGCAGGAGCATGACTTGCTGTGATGTGTGTTTGGAAAGATTCACCCTGGCTGTTGATTGCAGGATAAACTGGCAGACAGTAGATTGTTGGGAACTTGCAGGTGTCTGCCTGAGATGTGATAAGTCAGCCAAGCCTATGCAGCGGAAATAGGAGGGAACAGATTTGAGGGGGTGTTCAGAGGTAGAATTTGTTAGGATTTAGAGACCAGTGGTGGGCTTCCCTGGTAGCTCAGTAGTAAAGAATCTGCCTGCAATGCAGGAGACCTGGGTTCGATCCCTAGGTCAAGAAGATCCCCTGGAGAAGGGAATGGCTACCCACTTCAGTATTCCTGCCTGGAGAATTCCATACACAGGAGCCTGGCTGGCTATAGTCCATGGGGTCACAAAGAGTTGGACACGACTGAGGGACTAACGTGCACACACACACACAGACCAGTGGTGTGGGGATTGAGGAGAAGGTGGGCTGTCTCTGTGATGGCTTTGGGAGGACAGAGGTGTCTCTGATGAGGCAGGGAGCCAAGGTAGAGGCTAAGGTCAGATTCAAAGAGCAGGAGAAGTAAGCGTTCCTGGCCACAGGGTTTGACTACAGGTTTAGCAATGGTGATGTGAAGTTCCTTGCGCCTTAAATAATAGCAAACCCATGCTTTAAATTAAATTAAAGCATTTTAGACTCTTCTGAGTGGACCCACACAGGCATTCTCTGCTCGTTATTATGAGAATGACTAAGTATTATAATTGAGCTGAAAATAATCTCCCGCCCATACTTGCTGGGTTGGTTTCTAAGTATTGAGTTTTTAAACAAAGTTGCATTCTCTCCAAGTGTTAATTTTAAAGACTGCAGATGGTAACCATCTGTTACACGACTAGCATTTTACAATGTTTGATTAGCACTTTATATAGTTTGGGGAAGCCTGTCCAGGGAGTCTGCCCTGCCCATCAGGTGGGGATTTCGATGATGTGTCTTCTGTGGGTGGCCCTTGAAAGCCTTTGCCCCACCGTATGTGGTTGCCCTCTCTGCTGCGCTGAAGTGTGGCTAGTTGGCCTGGCAGATTGCGCCCTGCCCTGTGTGCAGTCTTCCTTAGAGCTGGAGCCATCGGAGCTCACTGGGGACGCAGAATGTGGGAGGGCTGGATCTCTCCATCAGTCAGGACTCTCTTGGTTGCAAGTGACAAAACAACAAACCCAAATTTAGGGGGGGGACTACCTTCAGGTACATGGTGTTTGGGCTCAGGTGACGACTTCACACCTGGTGTCACTCCGGGTCTCAGCTCTGCCATCTGCCCTTTCGCTTCAGTCTCAGGCTTCTAGAGGAGGCAAGATGGCTTCTTTGAGGGTGAAGTCCTCTCAGCATCAAGTCTAGAGTGGAGCACCCCTGCAGAGGCAGTGAGATCTGCTCTGGTTGGACCAGCTTGTCACGTGCCCGTCTGTGAGCCAATCCCAGTGACCATGTAGATGAAGGGCTCTGAATAGTCAGGCCTGGAGTGGAGCCCTGCCCAGACCTTGGGGGCGGAGACCTGGAAGGGTCCCCAGTGCCTCAGCCCCGGATGTTACCAGGTGGGGAGATGGGTGATGGGGGTCAGCGGCCACGAGCCCGCCCCAATGTGAGAGTGAGAGGCTAAAATACAAGGAGCAGTTGGCAAATTTAGCTGTGGAGACGGACAGACATTGTTACCAGGAAGATAATATGCTGCAAATGGAATGAAAGAGCCTCTGAAACTAGCTTCTTAGTAAGTTTCCTCTCATAGTTTAGCTCTTCGTTACTTTCCTCTCCTAGTTTAGCGCCTTAGTAAGTTTCCTCTCCTAGTTTAAGATAGATTAGATTTCCTATCCTGGTTCTTTATCTTTTAGAGGGGGTGCAGGTTGTCTGTCTTTTTTATGTTACTTTTAAACCAAGGCCAACCACTTAATCTTGGTCTTCTAGCTCTTCCATTTGGAACACAGTGAGCGTCTCTTTAAGAGGGGAAATCTGTGCAGAGGAGATAACAGATTCTATTCAGTCCAGTTCAACAAAGAGGGCACAAAGTGAAGTGTTGGGGCCCGGCCAGGCTCTGGAGGCCTGCAGCAGGTGAGTCCCCAGCAGTGTGGGAAGTGCTATAACAGCTTCAGAAACAGGGCACTGTAGCCCCCTCACACACACACCAAGCAAGGGACAGTCCTGAAGGGCTTCCCGGAGGAAGCAACACCGAGCTGGCCCTGAAAGGACGAGCACGGGTGTCTCGGGGGAGGAGATGGGGAAGGGAGCTCCAGGCTAAGGGGGCCGTGTGTGCATAGGCGTAAGAGGTGATCTACTTGATGGCTCAGGGGATCTGGGAGAAGATCCTTGCATCTGACAGTGGGGTGAGCCCAGCACATTGGTTCCAGAGCTCATTCTGGTGTCAGTGTGGCGGTGGCTGGGGAATGACAGGCTTCAGGCAGGGACTCCAGGCAAGATGCTGTGGTCGTGGTCCAGGCAGGATCCTGTGCGCATCTTGTTAAATTGCAGGCCTGGTTGTTTTTGGGTGAGATTGGGTTTCTCATTAGCTGCTGGTGATGTCAGTGCTGCCTGTCTAGGACCACACTTTGACTAGCAAGGCTCCGACCTCTGGGCATCTCCACTCTCTGCTCCATCCTCCTGAAGTCAGCTGGTTTCTCCGTGATTGTGATGCAGGGTCTTCTTGCTTGTGGTCAGTCTCCAGAAGAAAGACCACAGGATGCGGCCATGCCTCCTACCTTTGTCCTTGCGGACCTGCTTGGGGCTGAGCCTTCTGCAGGGCTGATGCCCAGCCTGAGCTCAGGGGCTCGGTTCCATGGGGATCTGGCCTCCATCCACACTGGATCAAATATGCATGCTTCCCAGAGTGCTGGAAACTGGGGGCCAGGGCACAGTATTGGCTGGATGCCTAGAAGTGATGCTCTGTGTTTTCCAGGGACTGGGGTCTGGCGGATGGCCCCACTACCAGGGGCAGAGCTGGTCCAGACGCCGCTGCAGCTCTACCGATACCTGCTGCGCTGTTGCCGGCAGCTGCCAACCGTGGGCATCCAGGAGCATTATAAGCATGCCATCAGGCAGGTGGGAGCAGGGTACGCTGGGCTTGGGGTCGGGGTGGGGCTTCCTGTGGTGGGGCCGTCACAGGGTTGGGGGCCAGTGGCAGTGGGCAGGGCTGGTCTTTCAAGTGGTGATGGTGTGGGGTGGTGGCATTTGAGTAAGAGCTACCGGAAAGCGGTGCTGGCCAGCCCAGCTCCTCTCTAGTTTCTGTTTAGGAAACAGAATGCATCATCTGGGCACACCAACTCTGTGCCAAGGCTTGAATAAGACAGCTGAATGGATAATTAAAATTGAGTGTGAGACATAACATCATTTTGACAGGCATTTCTGCCAATAATGCACAACCTGAATTTAATCATGAGGAAACATTAGGTAAACCCAGACTAAGTGACCATCTACCACTTAATGGCCTGTGCACACCAAACACGTCAATGTCATGGAACACAAAGGCAGACGGCTACTCTGATTTAAAGGGGACTAAAGAGACGTGACAAGTAAGTGTCAGGAGTGATCCCAGACCAGAAAAAACGATGATAAAGAAGATTACTGGGAAATTCATGAAGTTGAAATATGAACTGTAGGTTAGATAATAGTATTATGTCAGTGTTTCTCATTTTGATTACTGTGGTCAAGTACGAGAATGCTTGTGTTTACACGTCTGAAGTATTCAAGGATGAAGGGCATGATACCTGCAACTTTTAAATGATTTCTCAAATTTTTATACAAACCCATATAGAGAATGATAAAGCAAATGTGGCAAAATATTAACAGTTGGTGTTTCCAGTAGGGAATTCTTTCATATTATTCTTACAGCTTTTCTGTAGATTAGAAATTATTTCCAAATAAAAAGTTAAAAACTAAAATGTATACAAATATGATGTGGAAAGTAAAAAAAAAGGCAGCAACAGAGAGCTGTGGAAATATGGAGAAGGAGCAATTAACTGTGTGAGGGAATCAGAGAGGATTTCCTGGAGGTGAGCATTTGAGTTGCTCCTGAAGATAAGTAGGAGGACATGTGGGGTTGAGAGTGGCAGGTCAGAGGAAGTCACCAGTTCTTTTGAAGGGCCACGAGTGCCACACAGTGGACCTGAGTCTCATGTTGCTACTCAAAGGGGAACATCTGGCCAAGGGGAACATCTGGCCAAGGCAAACAGCAGACCCACACTGCGCCACCTTGGGCCTGGCTGGATTTTCCAGAGCCCCCATCCCCATTCCCCTTCCTTCCCTGCCTGACTTTCCAACAGGGGCCAAGAGAAACTCTGTTCTTCCCCAGGGAGAAGGCATGCAGCGAGCTCAGCCTGCTGACAGTAGGCTTCCTGGGAGCAGCAGAGAGATGGGAGCGTCCCTTAGGCCCCTGCTGCCTGATAACCTTTGGACCTAGCTTGATTCGGGGGTAACTCGGGGCCAGTCTTCCCTTTCACAGCTGCCCTGCTGGTAGGAGCACAGGCTGTGTAGTCAGACGGTCCAGGATTCAGATGCTGTTGCCATTGCCTAGTGGCGAGTTAGAGTTTTGGAGCCTGTTTGCTCACCTCAGGGCAGGATCGTCGTAACTGTGTGTGGGAAAAAAAAACACAACTGTGTGTGGAAGAGTAAGAGCAATGCCAAGTACCCATGCCCACCACGTGCCTGGCCCTTGACTGGAGCTCTGAAGCTGCCAATCCTAATTTTTGCCAAGTCATTGTGTCTTATACTTAAACCCCCAGAGTTTCCGGGTTCATTCGGATGAGGACAACCCTGAGAGGATCCAGCAGATTATTAAGAGAGCCATTGAAGATGCCGACTGGATCCTGAACAAAGTAAGCCCTTGGCTCCTGTTTTCACCTGCAAGTTGGGAGTTGAGCGCTATAATCTCCGTGACCACTAGGGGTCGCCCCAGCCCCACAGTTGAGACTAATGAGTGTTTCCCGCCCCTGACCAGCAGCTCCCCTCCTCCAGACTAAAGGGGATGGCACATGCCCTTCCGGTTGCAGTTTCTGCAAAGGGGTGCACATCCTCAGTCCCTAAAGGCAAACAGTACTGAATAAGCTAAGATGGGGCTACAGGAAGACGGAAGAGAGGAGTCTTCCAGGCAATAATAGTGCCAAAACCGACAGCAGCCTTGTGATGGCTCAGAGAGGAAAGCTGGCTGGGTGAGGCCGCATTACTGAGGAAACATTCAAGTATCTGTTTTGGTGGCGGCAGGAAGGGAGTCAGAATATAGACAGGCTTGCTGGTCCTCACACTTTGGTATTAGAACAGCCTGAGAGCTGGAGCACACCCCACCTTCCTGTCCTTCTGAATCAGATCCTCCAGGTGTGGGGTCTAGGATTTGTTTTTGAAACTCAGGGATAAGACCAGATGGTTTCTGAATGTTGCCTTCTAGAACCTGAGATTCTTTTTTCCCCTCTGAATAAGACTCAGCTTGAAGAGAAGGCTGGACCGACCACAGTTTTCAGTTCCAGTGTTCCTGGTGTCGTTCTTGTCCTCTCTCCCTAACTCCATCAGTTTCCTTTTCCGTGGGTACCAACTAGAGACTTGACCGCCTGGTGCCTGCTGACAAGGTGTTACCGCCTCTATGAAGCCCCTGCAGGAGATGACTGAGGCCTAGTGACCACAGTTATCAGGATTTCCGGGGTCCTCCCTTCCCTTCTGGTTTCCCTCACCCGCTCCTAATGATCGCTCTGTCTTACAGTATAAAAAACAAAACTGAGACTCCAGGGTGTAAAGAGTGCAGCCGACTTGGCGACGCTGACATGGAGAGCTCTCGCTTCACCCGGCCCTGACAGCAGCAGCAGCCATGCTGGGATATCTATTGGCCTGGTTGGCTGGGAGCAGGAAATCAGCGATAGGAGAAGCTTGTCATTTGCTCAGACTGCGCTTCCTGCCACATTGGTGTCCCCAGCGTCCTTCACATTTGCTTTTCCAGCTGGTGATGAGGTGAGCTTTGGGGAGAAGGTGTTTTCTCACTTTGCTCTGAAAGTGACTCATTTACTCTGGACATCATCCTTTGAGAGGCAGAGCTGGTATCCCCTCACACAGCGGCCTGTGCAGAGGACAGGGCATGGGCTTTACAATCAGGCTGATCTAGATTTGAAGCTCAGCTCGGTGGCTTTTCAAGGGTGGCTTCAAGTCCAGTTCTTCCTTCGTTAGGATTAGATAAGATGAAATCAAAGAGCCTGATGCAGGACATGGTATGTGGTGGGGCCAGTGAATGTCCTCCTGAGGAAGCCGGCTCTGACGCCCTCGTGGTGCTCACGCGTCCCTCTGGCTCCCTCAGCATCAGCTCTTAGTTCTCTGTGGGCTTGTCCTGTCCCAGCTTGTCACCCCAGGCCCTGAGCCCTCACAGTTGCACTGTGCCCGGCGGTCCGCCCAGCAGCTGCTCCTCCTGACACCGAGCCTCCCAGCCCAGAGAGACAGAAGCCCTGCTCTTTGTCTTCGTGGGATCTGTCGTGTCTCAATGTCGAAACGAAAAACGCCAGGGCACCTGCAGTAGACGCCGATGTGTTCAGGCTGCCGTGAACCCGTGATCTGTGTGACCAGCTCCTGCCTACTTTGGCTCCATCTTAGAAGGAGAGGGAGGAGCAAGGAAGCAGTCGTGAGGGTCGTCGTGAGCCTGAAGTCTGTGGAGAAGGCAGACCTGGGTCACGTCCCAGCTCCACACACAGTGCTCTCGGGTAACTTACCTCGCCTCCTTCAGTCCCCGTTTCCTCATCTATCCAGGCAGTAATGACCATACCTACCTCACGGGGCCGCAGTGAGCAGTCATAAGCCCTAATGTATGCCAAGTGCTTCCCCCAGGACCCGGCCTGGGGAGCCAGGGAGAAGGGAGCTCCTTTTCAAGAGATTGAGCTCCCTTTCAAGGTCACAAAATGACTAAGTTGGATCTGTGAATGTACCAAACCCTCTAGATTTAAGAGGGGAAGGACAGCAGTAGGGGCAGAGGGAAAGGAGGGTGAGAGGGAGGCAGGGGGGAGGGCGAGCAGGGAACATCAGGGTGACCGGCTGGAGTGGGCGGAGCAGCCAGAAGATGCAAGGAGAGACCACACCAGTGGTGAGTGTCCCCCGAGGACTCCCAGCCAGAGGATGAGCTTGCAGTCACGTGACTTACAGTGACTCAGATACGCCCATGTGCGCTCAGCTGATCCGCAGATCATGAAGTAAATACATCAGAGCTCTGGTGTATGTTCCCTACTGTGTGCTGTCATGTTCGATGTTGAGGGTTAGAGGCAGGCAGACAGAAAACTGCCAGGAGGGATCATTCTTTCATGTTTTAATTCATTAATTGAAATGTATGGTCCTAGGTAAAGATAAAATTTCAGAACTTGCATGAAGCTTGAGGCATCTCTCTTCCAGGTGGGATCTGCACCAGTGGGAAACCTGCTGTCAGAGGAGGGGACCACAGGCGGGCCGCCTTTGCTAGCTTGGGGTGAGGGAGTAGCAGGGGGTGCCTGGCAGACGGGCAGTTTCACCAAAGGCTCGGAATGGCACCACTTGCTCAGGAAGTCCCACGCTCTTCTGTGTGGTTGACACTGTGGACTGAAGAGACGGTTCTGCAGCCATCTCTTTATGTAATTGTCTCCTTTCTGAGAGTGAACCCCTTGAGGGCAGGGGCCATATGCTGGTCGGTGCAAAATCTTCTGGGCCAGCTGTGTGCCTGCTGCCCAAGTGGTGAACTTTAAGCATTTGTTGAATGGAAGAATGATAATCCAGGCAAACTGATACGCCTTTTTTGTTGGAGTGTTTATTGCTTTCTAATGATGGGGGATGCTGGGAGGTGGTGATTATTTCTTGGCCAACCACTAGTATGTGTGTATGTGTGTGTGTTCTTATCACTGATGCTCAAATAAAGTCTTAATACTATTATGGAAGTAGTTTTGACTTCGAGAATCTCCTGAAAGGATTTTAGGGATTCCTTGAACTGTACATGGAGTCCATGGACTGCACTTGAAGATCACTGTCTCTGTGTGTAATCTGAATAAACCAGAATACTAAGAGGATTTTTACCTCCTTTCTTGATACTGTGGCTTTGTTACTTTGCCTAAGATTGTATTCATTTTTTTTTTTTAAAGAACCAGTGTCATCTGATTGCTTTGCATTCAACTTTTAACGTGAAGAAAATCTTGGAAGATGTGATGTGAGGGGAAGCAAAAAACACCTTCGTAGAAGAATTCATGCTTAAGCTCAGTCTTCATAGAGGAAAGAATGTTTTTTTTCAGGTGAATAAGAGAGGCAAGAAGAGCATGCCAGATAGGAGGAGACATATGAACAAGGACATACGGCACGAACAGGTTAGGTTGCTGAGGAGGGTGAGGAATCTAATTGGAAGGGACAAGGGTACCAGATAACAGCATGAACAGGGCAGGAGGGAGGTCAGCAGCGGGGATAAGAAAACCCACATTTGTTTGGGAATGGGAGCAGGTGAGACTGGTGATTCAAGAGGCCTGCTTTGGTCCAGGGGCAGAAATGAACAGGCATAGCGGTCTCAGGCTCAGCCAGCCTCAAGGTTATGAGCCCTTGTTAGTTTCAGAGGTCTCATGAAGCTTCTCTTGTGCATTCATTGCTCACAGCTGAACGAGAACAGCATACCTCCCCAGATGTCAATGAGAAAGGATCCACTCTCTCCACAGATGCTGTGTCTCCATGGTATTGACAGCCATTGGTAGCAGTTAGGAGGTAGAAATAGAGATTCTGATGGTTTGGAGAAACCTGATCTTGATGGCACTAGTGGTGAAGACCCTGCCTGCCAGTGCAGGAGACATAAGAGATGTGGGTTCTGTCCCTAGGTTGGGAAGATCTCCTGGAGGAAGGCATGGCATCCCACTCCAGTATTCTTGCCTGGAGAGTCCCAATGGACAGGGAAGCCTGGTGGGCTACAGTCCATGGGGTCGCCAAGAGTTGGACACAACTGAAATGACTGAGCACGACCTTAAATGAAGCTAAGTGCCTTCTCAAGAGCATGCCCCTCCTTTGAGGCCCACTGCTGTCCCTGTAGACCCCTGGACTCAGACTGGGTGTTTATGGAATTAAAGGCCTTGATACTCTATCAGTGAGTTCCAGAGGCAAAGATCATGACTTCAATGCATGCAACAAATGTCTGTGAAGCCGCTACACTGTGCAAGGCATTGTGCTAGGTGTTGGTAAAAGTGAAAGTCGCTCAGTTGTCCCACTCTTAGCAACCCATGGACTGTAGCCTGACAGGCTCCTCTGTCCATGGAATTCTCCAGACCAGAGTACTGGATTGGGTAACCATTCCCTTCTCCAGGGGATCTTCCCAACCCAGGGATCCAGCCCAGGCCTCCCGCATTGCAGGTGGATTGTTTACCATCTGAGTCACCAGGGAAGCTATAATTTCCTTACCGGGTGCCGGTGGGTACTGTTGTGCTGGGGTCCAGCCTCGGCAGGATCCAGGGGATACCCTCGGGATGAATGGCGTCAGCGAGAGAGAGAGGACACGTGAGACCAGCCTTGATAGGGCCGAGTCTGCGAGGGAGAGAAAGAAAAAGAGAGTGACCAGACGGCGGGTGCAGCAGTCTGGCAGGGTCTGGCCATGCTTTATCTTTTACCATAGCTTTTATACCCTAAGTTAGTACATTTCTGAGGGGAGGATAGTTTAATATTACATCAGCCTGTCCTTCACGAAACCAGGGTGTTTTCTGCATACTTCTTTATTTATGAGGGTCTTGTACATTATCTTCTTGCCTTGGGGCCTGTTAACATTTTATGGAAGTCAGGTGAATGTAAACCTATTTTCTGTTTCTGTGGTGATCTTAACAGAAAAGTTACAGTCTCACAGGGCAACAGTACAGCATGTCACAACAGAAGTATAACCTTGTTAACATAAAAATTAATTCTTCTGCCGAAGTTGTCAGTTGAGTTTATCTAAGACGTTTACCCGACACTGACTCTGCAACTTTGGTGAGGCAGCCTCTGCCTAGCACTCCTGGGTGACAATTAACAACTGTCTCATTGGTACCACACTAGGGCTAAGCTCTTATTTTTCTAGATCTATAACTATATTAACAATGATTTCCATAACACAACCTTAGCACCTTAAGAGCAAAAACACAGCAAGCAAATGTTAACCCAATAACCACTTTTAGAATAATTTTTCTTATGTTTTCTAAGGTGAGCCCCGGGGGCAGCTTCTTGGAATCCCTGAAAAACCTGATCGCCTTGTTTAGGGCCTTAATCTGGATCCCAATCACATTTTCTTACTTACTTAATTCATTGGTTTAACAAACTTTGAGCACCTTTTATATATCAAAAGTTCCATCTCATTCTGTCAAGGTTGGGTTATGGGTGGTTTAATTTCTCCTTATTGATCTGTATGGTTTCTGGAGACGTATGCAGAGATTTCATTTTGGGCACCTGTGACTATCCACAGGAATCTAGTTTTTAATCAAACTAAATAAGTTTTTTCCCCTATAAGTTTCCTGTTTATAGACATTAGCCCACATTTACAAACACATGTAACATTTTCTGGCTTAGAAATGGTTAATCACTTTGAAAATATGTTTTTCTGACATTTGCACCTTCCTGTTACCCTGAATCTTTAAAATTCTTGAAGTGATAAGATTTGCCAAGGGGGCAACCTGTCTTTCAAGGCTCAACCTCCAACCTTTAGGCATGTATGTAAATAAACATTATCATCTGTTTCTTCATCTTAGCTATGCTGTTGATTTCATCTTTCTGGTCTGGGCCCCTGTAAATAATTGGCTGTGTTAGAAACCACTGCTTGAGGAGCTTGGAACTTTGATATACTGCTGGTGGGTATGTCAAACATTGCAGCTGTTTTGGAAAACAGTTCAGAAGTTTTCCAGTATGTTAAACGTGGAGTTATCATATGACTCAGTGATTCTACTCCTGTGTATATACCCAAGGGAAATGACATCAGTTCAGCTCAGTCGTGTCCGACTCTTTGCGACCCCATGTATCGCAGCACGCCAGGCCTCCCTGTCCGTCACCAACTCCCGGAGTTTACTCAAACTCATGCCCATCGAGTCGGTGATGCCATCCAGCCATCTCATCCTCTGTCGTCCCCTTCTCCTCCTGCCCCCAATCCCTTCCAGCATCAGGGTCTTTTCCATTGAGTCAACTCTTCACATCAGGTAGCCAAAGTATTGGGGTTTCAGCTTCAACATCAGTCCTTCCAATGAACACCCAGGACTGATTTCCTTTAGGATGGACTGGTTGGATCTCCTTGCAGTCCAAGGGACTCTAAAGAGTCTTCTCCAACACCACAGTTCAAAAGCATCAATTTTTCAGCACTCGGCTTTCTTCACAGTCCAACTCTCACATCTATACCTGACCACTGGAAAAACCGTAGCCTTGACCAGAAAGACCTTTGTTGGCAAAGTGATGTCTCTGCTTTTTAATATGCTGTGTAGGTGGGTCATAACTTTCCTTCCAAGGAGTAAGTGTCTTTTAATTTCATGGCTGCAATCACCATCCGCTGTGATTTTGGAGCCCCCAAAAATAAAGTCTGACACTGTTTCTACTGTCTCCCCATCTATTTCCCGTGAGGTGATGGGACCAGATGCCATGATCTTAGTTTTCTGAATGTTAAGCTTTAAGCCAATTTTTTCACTCTCCTCTTTCACTTTCATCAAGAGGGGCTTTTCAGTTCCTCTTCACTCTCTGCCATAAGGGTGGTGTCATCTGCATTTCTGAGGTTATTGATATTTCTCCCGGCAATCTTGATTCCAGTTTGTGCTTATTCCAGCCCAGCATTTCTCATGATGTACTCTGCATGTAAGTTAAATAAGCAGGGTGACAATATACAGCCTTGACACATTTCTTTTCCCATATGATATATATCCACACAAAACACTAGTACGTGAATGTTCATGGTTTTATTCATAATAGCAAAAAGAAAAGCAAACAACCCAAATATACATCAACTGATGAATAGATAAAAAAATGTAGTATAGTCATACAATAGTAATAAAAAGGAATGAAGCCCGGATACACCCTGCAACATAGGTGAACCTTGCTACCACTATGCTAAATGAAAGAAGCTAGTCACAAAATGCAAAGTTATATGATTCCATTTATGTGAAAAGTCCATAATAGGCAAATCTGTGGAGACATAAAGTAGATTAACTTAGAGGCTTGGGACGTGGCTGTTGGGAGGAGCAAGAGTGGCTGCTAATTGGTACGGGGTTTCTTTATGGAGTAATGGAAATATTTTAAAATTAGATCATGATTGTATAACTCTGTATGTCAGAAACCACTGAATTGTGTACTTTGAATGGGTGAATTGTGTGGTATGTGAATTACATCTCAATAAAACTAAAAAGAAAATGAAATTAGATGCCAGGAGAAAACTGAATAAATCCCAGTGCATCTGGAAGGTACCACCCAGTGTATCATTAATTTCTAGAAGATACCCTCCTTGATACCTTACACTAGTAAAGTAATGCTTAAAATTCTCCAAGCCAGGCTTCAGCAATGAAGTGAACCGTGAACTTCCAGATGTTCAAGCTGGTTTTAGAAAAGGCAGAGGAACCAGAGATCAAATTGCCAACATCTGCTGGATCATCGAAAAAGCAACAGAGTTCCAGAAAAACATCTATTTCTGTTTTATTGACTATGCCAAAGCCTTCGACTGTGTGGATCACAAGAAACTGTGGAAAATTCTGAAAGAGATGGGAATAC